AAAAAAAATAGTTTCTTTATATTCTTGTCAGTCATTTATGCATCAACTATTTCCTTTTATCTCGAAATAAATAAATCGACAAACCTATCAAATTTCATTTTTTGCTTCTGATATGCTACTACCTTTATTGCTTCCGAAAGAAGCGCAATCATGTGTAATATGTCAAGTACTATTATATTCCTGTGATTTTCACTAAAAAAAAATTTTTTTTCATTTTTTGCCTCTTATATCCGATTAAAAAAACAAAAAGTTTTATAAAATGCTTTCCAAATAGTATCAATTTAAAAATTATTGAAGAATTTTTTTATGCGAAATTTTTTTCACTAAAGGAAAATATTGAGTTTGAAAAGTTGTTTCTAAAAATAACGAAAAAAAGAAAACTCAATATTATACCTTGAGAAAAGAAGATTAATCTTGATTCAGGTCATTCGATTTCTTAACTTCAAATATAGAGCACAATTTTGTTCCAATTTTACATCTCACTATCGGAAAATCTGCAACAAGAAATTTATAATTTTTAAAAAAATATTTAAAAAAAAGTAATGCGTTTAATAATAATTACTATTATAATTATAAAAATTACTTTTTATTCAAAAATTATACTATATATATTAAAAGACAGAATAAAAAAAAAAAATTGTTAAATTAATTTTCCTCATTAGAAAATAATTATTTTTTCCATAAAGAGATAATAAGTGTGTATATAAGTTCCATACAATTATCTCTATATCAAAAATTATTTAATAATAAATTAATTATAACTATCTATTAAATTTTCGCAAATAGAAGATTAGAAAGTTATTAAAAGACTGTTATAAATTTCAGACAAATAAGATTATATAATTTAAAGAAATTCAATTAGCTGCGGATACTAATTGCAAAAAGGTTCGCTTTTATATATATATATAGTAAAATGTATATATTCATTTTCTTCTGTCAACCGCACTTATTTGCGCCAGAAAAGTGCAATATATTCAAATTACAAATTTTCAATTAAATAAAAATAATTAAACAACTTTCGTTAAATAACATAATTTAATAATTTTATTTATTTTTCAAATAATTAAAAATTAATAATATTTGTAAATAAATTATTGATAGACAGGATAATTTTTCTTTCTTTTTTTTGGGGGGGGGGACGAATTAGAAAAATTAGAGTTAATAAATGCATTTAGTAGGAAAAATTAAGTGTTTCGAGGAAGCTGCGAGAATGAAATTAAGTGATGCTTTTGTTCGTCCAAATGCTGTGGCTACTGAAACGAACGAAAGAAAAAGAAAGAGAGAGAATACCCTTCACGAGACCGGCTTACCGCCGTACTATCGACCGTAGAACTTGAATTAATTCGCCTTCACGATATAGTTCCTTGCAAACTATGGGAATTCTAAAAATCTCTCGAAGTACGTAACGACAATTATGAAATTTGTTAATTTCACATTTCCATTGAGACATAAAACATAAGGGGCCAAATTGGGAATAAAAAATTCGCATATTTCGCATAAATAACGACATTATGGAATAGTATAAATCGGGCGCGGCATCCGATGCTGCTCATTACGCGGCGTGCTTTCAGACTCGTATCTTCAATTTAAATATCCCTGAGTTTTCGCAAAAAATAAATAAATAATAACTCTAATCACTATTTTTTAATATTTCATTCTTCATTCTATTTAAAATTACTTCCGGTTATTAAAAAATTTAAAAAAAAAATATTATTTACTTTTGTCATTTATATTATTAATTATTATAACTTTCAATTATAAGTTATATAATAACTTATAATAAATAATTAAATTATAGAAAATTTAAAAAATTGTTTTAAAAACTATTAACTCAATATTAGTAAACTAGATAAAATTAATTAATTTTAAACAAATATTAATAAACATTAAAATAAAATTCTTAATCTCAATCAATTTGTTTAATACTAAAATAGTAAACAAAAAATTGAACGAAATAAAAAAAAAAATTGAATAAGTAAAATAAAATAATTAAATCATATTTAAATGAATCAATTATAAAACTGAAATATTTTTAATTTTGAAATTAAATTATTTTTTCTTTTAAATATACATAAAAAAAAGCTATCGACAATTTTTTTTTTCAATGGTCTCTCCGATTATGAAATTTAAAATTCATTTGAACTAAAAAAAAAGAAGAGAAAAAAAATGAATGGTAAAAGAAAATGAACTATTGATAAGGTTTGAACTGAAATAGGGTCTCGTGAGAATTGGGTATAGCGTGGGAATGTTATATATATATATACAGGCATCGATGGTATATTCATTTCTGTGATTCCCTGTGATTTGTCACACACAAAGATGGCAAGTTCAGCGTTCACTTTTTTCACGGCACTTGTCCAACGAGACGTAACGTTATCAACAATAATTTTATAAAACACGTCTTGTGTAACTTATTGTTTTGTGTGTCAAGGGCTGATAATAAGCTTCCCTATATATATATGTATATACAGAAACTGAACATTATAAACAATAAGCGAAAGGCGCGCAATGTTAATATGATTCCTGGAAAAATGATAAGCTAATTAATTCTCTTTCATTATATATGACATACATCGAGAAATTATAATAATTTAATAATAAAAAATCGTCATTATTGATAATTCACACAAAAAAGAAAATTCACATAATAGAGAAAAACTTTCGTGTTCAGACCTGCAGCATCCAAGAATCACAAAGAATTTTTCACTCTCAAAAGATGTTTTCTTATAACATTAAAAACTATACGCAAGAGTATTACAAAAATGTTTTTAAAATTTCAACACAAAAATTATCAAAAAATTTATTTTCAATTTACTTAAAAATATTTAATTATATTTATATAAATAATTAATAATATTTGATTTAATTTAATTGATCGAGAAAGCTAAATGAAAATTTTTCTCAACATCCATTTGTAAATATTACCAATTATTGGATACTAAAAATATCTCGAAAAAATCATTATAAAATTGATAATAATTATTATTATTATAATATTCGACTTACGTAAATTATTTCTATAAGAAGGAACTTTTTTAAATCGTTGTGAAATAATATTTGATGCTTCAAAAATTTGCTTAACCTCAAAATTTGTCGATTATAGTTGACTGAACTTTAAAGGCATTTTTAACCACATTTTATACAAAGATATAAAAAATATCACTATGTTTGAGTATTGAAGTTGTCTTTTAATAAAGACAAATGTTTTCAAATAAATAAATGCCACAATAACAACTTTTATCAATAAATAATCAAATCATAACGATGTCGGAAACTGTCAATAAAGTGAGGTTACGTTAATTATGTAAAGGCTTATTCACACTGACTTGCGTCAGCATTATACTTGTGAATATAGCTGAATACCAATAACAGTATTTTCAAAAATATTACATGGCAAAATTTTGTTCAATGTACAGAAAAAAAACTTGTATATAAATCTTTCTTTCATGTATATATAAAAAAATTCCTTCTAAACACAGCGCCAAAACAAAATATGATGAAAACACAATCAAATTGCTTGCGAAAAAATAGAGCAAATTTAAAAAAAAAGAAAAAACATGTTTGAAATGTGCAGGGCAAAGTTCATATAAGAAAACAAGGATGCAGCTGTTACCCGAAACCCGAGAGCGCTACGTTGAAATCCGTGCAGGTTCCAACAGGTTGGAGGGAGAATGCACGCCAGCGTGTTATTGAAGTGAAAAAAAGGGAGAAAGTGCCAAGGGTATAATATAATAGAGGTTCTACATTATAATAATAATATATGTTTTTAACTAAATAAATAAAAAAAATAACATAACCTACTCTATTTAACAAATAATTATTCATCAATATATAATTGCAAATTATTCATATTTTATACCTGTATCTTCAAACTTCTTGATGATTAAATGGACTTCTTTTTTCTTTTGTCCTTAAATTCTCCTCATCTACTGCTAAAAAGTGGAGGAAATCATTGATTGCTGAATAAAAAAATTATTCAAAAAATTTTTCGAAGCGACACAGATGTTGCCTTCAAAACATCCAAGATGGAACTGAGCTTGCGCTGTGGGGAAATTTTATTTTATACCACGAGTTCTGTATGCAGTAGTCTACCGTGCGCTGATTGGACGGGGCACTTACAGTTAGACGCTGATTGGCTGGGCGCTCTTAGTGTCAACGTCTATAAATATAGGTTGTATTTCTCCCACCACTTTAGTGAGCAGTAAACTCTTCAACAGGCAACATTTGCGCAGTTTGAAAAAAAATATTTTCAGCATTTATTCTTTGTGGCTACAGTTGGAAAAACAATGCGCGGGCATCCTAGTACAAACTGGAGTTACTATTGCACTTATTGTAGTACCTCAATTAGTATACCTGTTTCGAATCACTATAAATGGGAATCTTTGATATGATAAAAAAAAACTACTTCTCACTTTTGTAAATTTATCGAAACAATTCGAAAGATTGCAAATTTGGTAAGTTTCTATTTTCTCATAAACAATTTAAACCTAAACATTATTATTCTATTAATAATAGTGCATTTTAAAAAACTAATTGTAACGAAATAACCTTAGCTAGAAAAATTATTTGAAAAAAAATGACGTATATTATAACAATCTTTTGATATATAAAAACGTATAAACTGACGTCAAGATATATCAAACACATAAATATGTCTCGAAACTATTTACATAAAACAAATTTAGGTTATTTTTATAGAATGATCCAGTTTTAAAAGAGTGCTATAAAATTTTCCATTTAAAAGCGGTATGAATTTCAATGAATAAGTCGTAAGCCGACACTTAGCAATGATTAGTCTATTATTGGTAAAAGATAATGTTAGCAAGTTGATGTATAGAAAAAAAAGACAGGTACTTTACAATAATGTATGATACGATTGTTGATATGACAGTCCAATGTACTCATGTGAATTGAGCAAGAAGTGGCGCCATTGAAAGACGGTCCTGGCGTCGGGGGGTAGCGGGAGTGGGGGCTAAGGGTCTGGAAGATGGAAGCGACTCTCGCTCGAGCAGTTAGTTGCCTTTAATCGGGCCTAAAGCATAGACAGGGCTACTTGTTGGTCGCCACGGTATATTCCTTTGAGCCTTTCCCTCTCGCTGAGAATGAACAGCTTCAGTATCGTGAATTTTTACCGTAGTAGTATCTTTTCGTGTGTTTTAAACAAAAAAGGTTATCAACGATTTCGAAATTTTCCCTGTTCGAGAAACATTAATCGTGTCTGAGACTTTTTGAATAAAGGTGGTTATTTTTTTTTTTCACCGTATTTATATAAGTCGCGCATTCTCCATAAGAAACGCGCCGGGAGAGATTCTCGGGGATTTTTTTTTTTTCTTAGCAGCCGGAAGGCCGGTTGCTTTACATTTAAATTTAATTATAAAACGTGCAGCGATAAAGTGCAACTGTGATTTTTGAATTTGGATTATTTCAAGACATCAAACAAGGTTAGTATAACGAGTTGACAGTTACTCATTCTTGAATTAAACCGGCTATTGAAAATGGTGGCGCGTCTTGAGATTTTCGACGGTTGGCGGAGACGCCGGCCGGCATATTGTTGCCGCGGTGATTCTATATATGCACTATAAAAAAAGTAGATCAATAAAAATTTTTCTCTTGATTTTTTTTGCGAATAATAATATTCCATTAGTTTCAAATCAATTGTGACGCTTGTCATGAATATTGTTGCAATTGTCGCGGTTTAATAATCAAAAAGTGAGGGGGGAGGGGAATTAGTTTTTTTTTATGGCGCGACATTACATTCGTTCTTCGCGGTTTTGTGATTTCTCTATCTTTCTGTTAACCGTCATTTTAGGAATTTCGATCTTAACTGCAGTGCTCGAGGCTTTCGACAGGTTTGCAAGATTAAGGTTAACATGCTAAGCAAATCGTGTCTTAACTGCTTCTTGGAAAGAGATCTTTTGCATCTTCTTTTTTTTAAATCTCTGCCATTATTTTTTATGTTTTTTTTTTAATCATTAATTTTTGTTACTGAATTAATGTGGTGAAATTTTTGGAAATGTTTTCAAAAATTTTTCAACAAGTTTATTTGATTGAAATATTTTCAAATTACCACCTTCCATATATTGAGATATCCGAAAGTAAACACGTCAGATTATTATATACACCTTTTCTTAATTTTACGGTTCTATCTACTGTAATCATAAATAAAATAGCTTGTCAACTTTCTACTGGATAACAAAAACTAATTACAGGAAATTATCTTTTATTATTTGCTGCAAATTAAAATAAAATCTACCGGTTTTTAGATGTTTTAATAATATTTGAATTAATATTCGACAAGTGGTAATAAAGTATAATAGTAATTGTGGGCGTTTCTTTCTCTCCTGACGTTTCATTACGATAATTTTTGTCCCAAAAAAAAGGGAATTAAAATAAAATTGTTAAAAATTAAATAAAGAACTTTTTTTAATATTCGATCCTGAAAGTTTATGAAAATCTAGTTCAATATATTACAAATAAAAGAAATTGAAGGGTTCTTATCAGCATCCAACTTTCTAAATTCAATTGCTTTATTTTATATATGAAGCTTTTCTTAGTCGTTTTCACTGGGTATGGTGGCATTTCGTCTATCAGCTGCTGTCGTCCTTTAGGAAATTTTTTCGATTGACGATAAAGAGTTGAAACTCAGCTTGTGTATATATTAATTGTCGGCGAAAGTCCAGGAACTTCTAATCTTTGGACCGGTTTTATATATACACTTCGTCGCGTGGGCAGGAGAAAAAGAAAGAAGTGAGTGGAAAAGAGAGATCAATATATCGCAAAAATATGCACTAAAATTTTTTTATTTTCAAGATTCTTTAAATATCGAAAACTACAAATATATCGACATTTTCTCTTTAATCGGGCTGAAAATTTTTTTTTTTATATTCCCGGGCAAAATTTTTAGTTTAGGTTATCGTGATAAGGTTTATTAATGGAAGGTGTGTCTGTAAATGTTGCTGGCATATCATTTAGATAACAAGATAACTCAGGAGATTCCCGTTTCATTTATTTAGATTATTTCCAGTATGACCAATATTATTTATGATGATCGTTATTTACGGGCAATGTGCTGACAGGATTATCTACTCTGCAAGCAGATGTGTTTGAATTTGCCGGGCTTTTTTTTTTTTCTTTTTCTTCTCTATACATTGTAAATCTAACATGCAGAGAAAATTTCTCAAGGATTTTAGAATGTATATATATATATATTTGCAGATAAGAAAATAATATAATACTTGGGAAGATATAATAATTATAACAATAAACTATAAATGTAAAAAAAAGAAAAATATTGATAAGTGCGCTTGCTATTAAATTTTTAGAAATATACATTCCTAGTCCACGTGTGTGTATATAGTGGTAGTAAAACCGTGACTGATTTCATTACCACCGTGTATTGTATAAGAGATCGTGACCCGCTTTGCTCGTAAAGATAAACAAGTAGAAAGAAAACATGAATTGCAACACTGTATATGCCGTGCTCTTCGGTTAATTTGTGAAGGACGCTGATTTCTCGGGGGGTGAATGAATAATTGGCGCCTTTAGAGCTCTACCGTGAGCTTTAGTGATAATCTCGTCATTTTTATTCCCTCTTCTTCTTCTTCTTCTTCTTCTTCCGTCGTTCTTTTACATAATTTCTTCTCATGATTCATCGTTTTAGCGGGAGGAAAATCAAAATGACAAAAGAGAGAGAGAAAAAATAAATTCATTGTTGACGACCTCACACTCATAAATAATAGAATTGACAAGTTCAAGTGCATTTTAACGAAAACTTTTTTTAATTTATAAAAAGAATTATACTTTTGAAAAAAAATTCTTAATTTCTTTGTTTTTAAAAAAGATGTGTTTTTTTTCTGTTGCCAAAAGGTGATCCCCCCTTCCCTTCGTGTGGAAAAGAGAAATATGAATAAGGGAGAGAGAAAAAAAGGATATGTCATTGTTTTTCTTCAACCATAAGTTTTTTGCGGACGAATGACTCACAAAGCTTCTTTCAACCCCCCTTCTTTAGATTTCCTTCTCTCCTTTTTCTTTTGGAAATTTTTTTTTGCCTCTCTTTCTCTCTTTTGCTGAGTTGCCGAGTTTGGATAAGAATCTTGGTCCTCGCGATCTCTTCTTTTATATATTTGTGTGTGTGAGTGTGTTGCACGTTAATTGAAATGGGCTTTTGAACGATTCGTGAGAAAAAGCAATTAAAATGCTTGTTTCGATTTCGCAAATCATCAAAATAGATTTTAATATTTGATTTGATTTTTAATTGATTATTTTTTTTTCTTTTTTTTTTTAGTGAAAAATTAATGAAATAAAAAATCTGTTTAGAACTATATTTATTGCAAACGTTAAAAAAAGAGAGGGAAAATTTGTCTATATATGCACAGCTGCTGTGAGAATTTTAGTTACCTTGAAATTGAATTTCATGTATGTCAAATGACGTAAATAAATATAGAAACAATATTATAAAGACGCGGTAATACAAAATGGAATATTGTTAAATATGTAAAATAGATAGTGCTCCTATAATCAGCTAATTACCTTGTTTTGTCCTCTTTCGTCCATCGATCGTTTACACGTAAATATATATATATATATATTAACGAAGATAAAAGTATTACAGTAGAATTGCTCTTGACACACGATATCGACACATTAACAACATTATGTTGTCAATCTAGATTTTCAGGGCGAGAAATGTTTTCTCCTTTTCTAAACCGATATTTTTTTTTTGTATATATGTGATATTTAATACCGGTTATGACTTATGATGATTCATTATAATATATGTGATCTTTGTTGTCTGCTTTAGATAAAAAAAAATTATCGTAGTAGAAATAAAAGTTAAAATATTTATAATAAACTTATGTTTTGATTAATGATAAAGTTTTTTTCTAAAGCCAATTAAATAAAAAGAAAGTCTCCCCTCGACATTTAAAACTAATTTTTTTTTTCTGAACCATCTGATTTACAAAATTTATTAACTGCCAAAGTGTCGGGGAATTTTTAGGTACGTTTTTTTTTTGCCGACTGTAAAAAAAAACGGATCCTTGATCAATTCGACCATAAGCGCTGATTTCACTTATATGTAGTTGAAAGGAGAAATAAATCTTCTCCCGCGGCGAAGAAATCGACACTCGAATAAGCAAGAAAAAAATCAAATAATTAAGACAAGAATTAGTTTTAACCCCCCCTTTTTTTTTGTCTATAATTATGTATATTGAAAACAATTTTTTTTTTTGCAGACAAAATGCAAGTAGTATGGTCAGCAGATGGTTTTAGTGCATTTGATTTGCATTTGGATAGTGCAACAACAGTAGTATCGGATGATGTTTGGAAGAAATTCGATCTCGATCTTACTCAAGATTATCAAAAATACAGTGAAAGTCCAAATCCATTTGATGATTTTCCATTTTTTGGTGCTGATTGTTTAAGTTCATCAGAAATTAGACATCATGATTGTATGTGGGCTGGTCTTTGTATCAGTAAAGAACACAATAGTACAATGGCAACGAAAAAGAATCCAAAAATGCATAAAAAAGCAGTACCCGCTGGTCGAAGTCTCTTGATACCAAAAAATGAGACATCACCTCATTTACATCATCAACAACAAAGTCAACAACAACAACAACAACAACAGTCATTTTGTCGAACAAAAAGTTTAGAAAGTGATGGAGATTCAACGAGACCTGAAACACCACAAAGTACTGATTCTGATGCAGAATCAGATTATGAACCACCAATTTTTAGACACGATCAGATTAGCATCAATGAAAAACTTTCGGAATGTTTTCCCGATGCTGTTGTTAAAGCTGCACCTGTGAGCGTTGTCACTGGTCAACAAGTGAGAACACCAAGGAAACCAATTAAAAATGAGAACATCATTAAGGAGGAACCTGACATCAGGCATACACTCAGCGATCACTGCTATCATCTTAATCAACCTGCAGTTACCCAAAGGCTCGAACATCTTGGGGTTCAAACACCTTCCGAATCCGGTAAGTCTTAAAAAATTTGTCAATTATTATATATTTTCAACAGATGATCTTAATTTTTGTTTCTTTGTTTTGCTAATTTTACAAAAATGAACCTACATTCCATTTAGTAGAATTGTATTTTCGTTAGAATCATCAGATTTCTAGAGTGGAAAATTCTAATCTATTTTTATCTTTTATTTCTTTCTTTTCGTTCGTGGTTTTCTTTTATCTCAATTAAAAATGTTTAAAATTATAATTGGTTTATTGTGGAAGAATTATTGTTTGTCTTTTTGGCGCCTATATATATATATGTAATACGGGAATATTATTTATGACATCATATTAAAACCTTGGTGAGAAACATATGGGTTATAGAACCACCACGTGTAATCTTTTTGTGTCTATACCAAGGTCACAATTTGGAATGTTTCTTTTGCTATACATATATATATATACCTGAAAAAATGTCAAATACAATTTAAAATTAATGGAAATAATATTTGATTCAATTTTTAAAGAAATTCAAACATTTCAAGAACTTTACAATGTTTTAATAATGAAGCATTTAAAAATGCAAAATTTGTTCCCATCCGGTTGACATATGGGACAATAATTTGAATTCGGCTTATATTAATTCACGAGGAAATAATACTCAATAAATTTGGGTGCCCGCATATGGTGGTTTTACTAATCTCTCTCTCTCTCTATTTAGTATACCGATTGTCGAGAAGTCAGTTCGAAGACCTGGACACTTATACTTAAATTACTAAATGGGGAGAGAGAGACAGACAAATAAGGATGTAATTTATCGGGTCTTTTTACTTGAACAGGAAGCTATGTCTAATCTTTTTCTATTATTTGCATATATGAGATTCTTTTGATTCTAAATAGTAAATTCAAAATTTCTGTTAATCAAAGGATTAGCGTGGGATATATATTATATACAAAAGACCATTGCAGAAAATAACGAATTGATTTATGTTGTATTCTGAAACAAATCCATCTGTCTACCCACATGAAATATCAAGTCTCCTTGTCAGGAAATAAATGAACTTCTCTTATATATATTATGTGGGTGATATTCCTTCAACCAAAAAAAAAAACATGCGAAAAATTAAATTGAATAGTTGAAAAAAAAAAATATTAAATTGACCAAATTTGCGATCTGAGGGTTTTAAATAGAAATTACAGAAATGGTATCTCGTTCTTTCTGAGAATTGCTAAGTTCATCCTGGCCCAGTATCTATCTATATCATTGCACGCATGTTACTCCCACAATATATATTAAGAGAGGCAACACCAATGGTGGCGCCACGTTGCGCAAAATGTTAAACACACAACTTCACCTGAAAATGTGTGTTGCACCACATGGTGACATCGAGACGCCAGCACCGACGACGACGTGTCACACTACGTAATGTGCCGTCGTCGACAACACATGTTTGGTTATCACAAACACACACACACATAACTGACAAGTCGCAACTCTAAACTCTGGGTAACATTACTAGCACTTAAAACACGTGACTCATATATAACAACTATGTACTTGCAATACACACACACACACACACTATCACGGATGTGAAAACATTCTTTCCAACCTAGGCGTGGTGCATTGCACCCGTTTAAATGACTTTGAATATAATCCAGAAAAATTTCTCTCTATTATTAATTTCTTATCATTTTTCAAATAATTATGAAAATTTTGAATAAGTTCTTAAAATTATTATGCTAGAAGTATTATTTGATATAAATTTTTAAAGTTCATACACTGGAAAAAAAATTTTAGTTAGAATAAGCAGAATTTTGGTTATTCTAACTACCAGAATTCTAGTTAGAATAAGCAGAATTTTGGTTATTCTAACTACCAGAATTCTAGTTAGAATAAGCAGAATTCTGGTTATTCCAACTACCAGAATTCTAGTTAGAATAAGCAGAATTTTGGTTGGAATAACCAGAATTCTGCTTATTCTAATCAGAATTTTGGTTGGATTAACCAGAATTCTGGTTGTTCCAAGTACCAGAATTCTAGTTAGAATAAGCAGAATTCTGGTTATTCCAACTACCAAAATTCTAGTTAGAATAAGCAGAAGTCTGGTTAATCCAACCAAAATTCTAGTTAGAATAAGCATAATTCTGGTTATTCCAACTACCAGAATTCTAGTTAGAATAAGCAGAATTTTGGTTGGAATAACCAGAATTCTGCTTATTCTAACCAGAATTTTAGTTGGATTAACCAGAATTCTGGTTGTTCCAAGTACCAGATTTCAGTTAGAATAAGCAGAATTCTGGTTATTCCAACTACCAGAATTCTAGTTAGAATAAGCAGAATTCTAGTTATTTTAACGAGAACTCTAGTTAATACAACTAGAATTCTGGTTAACTTAACTATAAAATAATGTTAAATATATCTAACTAGATTTTTTCAATGTATAATAAAAAGTTAAGGAAAAAAATGTTTTTTGGAATATATTTCAATAGAATTTCAAAAGCAAAACAATAATAAATTCTGAATATTAACAAATTATTCAAAGAATGTTTATCACTGCTAACAATGTATTTCTGCGTTTTTTGCATAGTGATTTTTTTTCAAGTTAGTCATAACGGGGTGTAATTTTAGCATTGGTATATATATGTACTGTATATGTACATAAGGTTAAGATACGATTTTCTTCATGTCGGGGGAAAATTACAGTGATTATAAAATGTTGAATATGTTTCACGTGACGACGACCTTCGCATCACTCTCTTGAGAGAGTATATACCAACAATATAAATCCTTGCCTAATCAATTGGGGACTAAAGGTCTTTTGTTACCATTTTAATGTCTCATCTCAAGTCTGAAAGGTCATATAAAAAAAGATTTTGTGCATCCGTTTTTATTTCTCTCATCTCTTCTTTTTTTTTTTTTATAATTGATAAAAGTGTCGTGAACTTTTGATTATGGTTTTAATGGAAGATTTTTTTTAAAACTTATGTAACATCTTTTCTTCCTTTTTGAAACTTCGGTTAATTTTTTTAAATTCCAAACGTTTAAATCTGGATAGGTTATTGCGATAATTGGAAAAATCATTTATAAGTTTCTCTGCGTAAACGATTGTGAATAATTACTTATGTTCTTCAAAGCGATAAGTTTCTAGAAATATATATCTTATGTTTTCTGTATATATATATATATATATACAAAAGTGATAAATTTTAGTCCATAGATTTTCCTTGAGATTGTTTATCCTCAAGTTTTTTTTTTTTGCATTTTTATGCTAAAGCAAAGTAATTTTTTCCTTCTATATGTAGAAATTAGAAATTAAAATCGATTTTAACAAAAATAAGGACAAAACTGTGTCGAGTCATTTTGCATGAAAAAAAAAGGAAAACGTCAAAATCATTGAATTGTGAATTTCTTTTTTCTTCTCCCTTGCAACGCGAGGTGTCACATTTAGTTCTCTTTTGTTCTTTTCCCATTGAATGCACGATCTCGCGATATTTAAGAATTTGCCATTTACAAAGAACCGGTCTTTGCGCAAAAGATGTATACGCGCGCATCAATTCAATTTCGACCTCAAACGATGATGATCGAATATATAGTAGGACCATGTAATTCGATATATCTCTCCTTGTCACGATTTTGTTCTATAGTTCGGTAGTATAGTCGGCAAAATCACTATAATTTGATTCCTCTCACGCTCCTGTTGCGCTCTGTCAATATTTATTTGTCATTTAAAAAATTGAGAGACAATTATAGAATTAATATAAAAAATTATATATTTATAAAAAGAAATTATAAAAGTAATTTTATTTTTGTGCTAAAAAAAATTTGTCCGGCGGTATATTTGAACGACGCATGCGTGATAGATCGATTGAGCGGAAAGCGCGGGAACTCGAAGGTTATGCAGAGCGAATGACGTCATCGGTACACGGCGCGGCCGGCCGGCTTGCGGTCAAGCGTGGGACCCGACGTGCTTGTTTAAATGGTCAGCGGAATGCGGTTAGCCCTTTTTGCTATCGCGGCTCGTCGCTGCCTCAAGTAGTAGAAAGAGTGAGAGAGAGGGGGGGGGGCAATCAGGAGCGAACGAACCCAACTGCGGACCCCCTACTACGATATACCCAATTCTTTCAAGGTTTTTTCTCCTCGACAGCCTCTTTTTTTCGCCTCACGCCATATAATCTATTGACGAATTTAATATACTATATAATTCTACTATAGTAAAAATTTCGTATATTTTCAAATAAAAATATATCGATAAAAATAGAATATGAAAAACTGGAATTGTGACCGGATATGCGTCCGATATTACCAGTAGTCGTAAACAGTGTGTTAGAAAACACTTTTATTTTACCCCATTTTTATAGTCTTGTGTATATGTGAAAGATAAGAATATGTATATATATATATATCGAAGTGAGACAATTCTATAATAGAAGCCTCTTATATTTACATTGATACGCCTGCGCTAGACTGGCGCCGACATTTGAAGCAGAAGACCCGATAATTTCCAAGCGCCGCATAATTGCGCAAAGATAGGTAATGGAAAAAAAAAGAAAAAAAAAAGATATTCTAAGTAAAGCGGCATGACTAGCTAGAATTCCTTGAAACTGGTCGAACCGGCAAATACAACCGCGAATTGATTGTTAGATATATATGTTACGTCTGCCTTTTTTTTTTTTTAACTAGAAAAACCTGTTTTTTTTAAAACCATAAAGGGGGAAATTTATATTTTCGATTATTCTGAGAATATTTTTATCTTGCGCGAATTAAAGAATTTTCATGAATGTTAATGATTTTTAAATAAAACGCTTGAAAGAGAGATTAAACTTTTCTATAGCTGAACACATTTTGCACGCGCTCTGCCGTCAATTTTGGGTACTACAAAGCACTGTATTTTCTATTTCATGAAATATGTTTTGATTGTACCAAAAACTGACGAGTGTAAAATAAATATATAATACTCTATAAATCTGAATCAGTAGAAATTTTACTAATTCAATCAGTATTTTTCATTTTAACTGAAGTTTCAGTT